CAACAGATCCATCCTCCCGTCGAACCAATTGGAGTTGACACAGAGTTAGAGTCTGAGGATGACATTCCACTATCTCGACTCCGCATGAGACCGCCCTCTGAACCAAGTGTAACTGCTGAGGATGCTTCCATTACCCCTATTATTCCAACCGAAGCTGAGGTTGCTCCAAGCGTGACTATTGAAACCGGAGCAGCTACAAATACAACTGTTGCTCTCACAAAAAACTAGTGGAAATGAAGTTGCTTTAGACATAGCTTTCGGAGCTGAGGCTGAAATGACTACGAACGTTGCGTCCGACAGCTTTATCGCCTCAACGGAAATTCCAACTCTAGCATCAACCATGTTTGTTGCTACTCTTACTACTTTCATTGTCGCTCCTGTAACCATTGCAGGAACCACTGTGTTCACTTCGTTAGAAATAACAGCTACGTCTGGTGGCCAGTCGGAAGTGGTGCCTTCCCATGTTACACCCTCTTCTTCTTTTGACTTGTCAAAAGAATTTAGGGTGTCAATGGTCTGGAATAATTTCCTCACCATTCTAAGGGAATTCCCTATTCAGGTATTGGATCGTGGCGGGAATTTTGCTGGGATTAAGGCGATACTGGAACCTCTTTTGCATGTGAGCAGAACTTGACTAGTGATATAGTCACGCTGCCCTATTGGATGCATTTGGTAAAGGTTGAAGGCCTCTTTAAAAAGTGACAAGATCGTCGCAATCAGTTCCTCTTCCTTATAGCTTAAGAACGCGCTATGCAACTTTTGAGGCAAAGCGATGATTCTCTGTTAGAGCTTGAACATGAAGTGCTTGAGAAGAAGCAGAAGGTCAAAGAGCTCGGGGAAGTCAGCGAAAAATTATCCAGTGAGAACAAAAAGGTCGTTGATATTGAACGCAACCAGCAACGCTTAGTCGAATCTTATAGAGTTGCGCTTGTTGACATCCAGGCTAAATTGTCCAAAGCGGAGAATGAGTTGAAGAGCGCAACCGAAAGACGACAAACTTTGGCAACCCAGCAAGAAGAACATCAAACATTGCTTCAGGCTGAGTCTGATGATTTAGAGAGGCTAAGCAATGCCATAAGTAATGTGAAAGTGCCTTCAGATGATGATTTGCGCAAGAAAGCGATGGATGAGGTTGAAGCGGCATCCATAAGCTAACTTGCTGAGGAAATCCGCCAAACTGTTGAACATTTGTAATGATATTTTATTAATACAGTTATGCTTTTATCAATCAACTTTCTCCTTTGTGCATTGTTGGTTCTTCCTTAATAAAGTTCATTAACCACACAATGCTTTCGTAATGGCATAAGACTTGTCTTAACGAGTCTCAACACTTAGAACTTTTTCGAAGTTGCTCTGACGAGCCTCACTTCGTTAAAGCAAGTTCATTGGTTTCGGCGAACTTCGTCATGATAAAATTAGTCTTGGAAGTTCAAGACGAAGCTCAAATTTTGTTGAATCTTGTTCTGAATAAGCCTCTCATTCAACGAACTTCATCAATTAGAAGTTTTAGGGTGAGGTTCGACCTGATTTCAACTAAATCTCACTATTCGAGTCTAGTCTGAAATCATGACCTTCGTTTCTCCAATGTAAGGTTCGAAGCATCTCACTTTAATCTCGATATCAGAGTTTGATTGAGATAATGACCTTCATCTATTTTGAAATTAAAGACGAGGTTCGATCTATTCTCAACTAAGTCTCAAAATTTAAATTCAATCGGGATAGTGACCTTCGTCGTTTTTGGCCTTTAAAGACGAGGTTCAAACTGGTCTCAATTGAGTCTTGAAATTTGAACTCAATCGAGGTAGTGACCTTTGTCCTTCTGGACTTCAAATATGAGGTTCAAACTGGTCTGAACTGAGTCTTGAAGTTTGAACTCAATGAGGTAGTGACCTTCGTCGTTTTGAAATTAAAGACGAGATCCGACTGATTCCAACTAAGTCCCAATTATCAAACTTTGGTTGAACAATGACCTTCATCATTTTAGACTTCAAAGACGAGGTTCAAACTGGTCTCAACTGAGTCTCGAAGTTCAAACTCAATTGAGGTAGTGACCTTCATTGTTTTGAAATCTAGAATAAGAAGTTATCTCATTAAATAAAGACGATTGGACTCTAACGGTTCCCGAGCTATTGATCCACATGAATCTGTCGCTTCGTTGGGATAACAATAAGTATTTAATACTTAATGCACCCCTCCAAATCTTGCTCTATCAACGTTAAGTGCGAATACATTGAATAAGTCTCTTCGATTCTAATGTCTCTTGACCATCTGGCGCTCCGCTCAAGGATTCGTGTAACATCTCCCAGCCACTTAATTGGCTCCACTGCCTATAAATAGGCCATCGCTCTTCGAGAAGAACCATCATCTTCTTCTTTGAGTCCTGTTACAAAATGACTCAGAGGAGTTTCCTCTTTTCATTGTCCCCTTCCTTATCCCCTTCACAGCTTCAAGATTTTCTGTCATCCCCATCTGAGAATTTCTTAATTTTTTAGAACCAAAGTTAGGATGTGTTTCAGCAACTTGCTAGACTTTCGAGTGCAACCCCAAAGAGATATCACAAGTCCAATCTTGTTTACTCCTTCAACATAGTGTGCTTCCCCTAGCATATAACCCTTCATTTGGACTTTGGGTTATGTGGCAGTTTCACGGACCCACTAAAGCGCTTATCCTTCTTCTCACGAGCATCAACAACTATTTTAAAGGTGTCGCTTCACTTTATAACTCATCCACGTTCTATTGGAATGAGGAAGATGCTGATCCTATGCTCAGAGCTTGTGGTATTTCTATTAGTACTCAGTTTACCCAAGCAGATGGGTGGGTGCTACTAACACCAAAGTTGAAAGTCGGGCATTAGGAAGACTTCATGCCAAGGAACGGAAGATGAAACTTTAACAACAAGAACCAAAGTTCAACACCATTGTAAAAGGCTCAAATAAGTTGCACAAAAGGACATTATCGAAGGTCGTCGAAAGAACTTGTAACTGAATCTCGTAGTGTAGCTCGAGGGTCGTCGAAAGAACTTGTAATCGAACCTCATAGTATAGCTCGAGGGTTGTCGAAAGAACTTGTAACCGAACCTCGTAGTGTAGTTTGAGGGTCATCTAAAGAACTTGTGACCGAACCTTGTAGTGTAGTTCGAGTTTTCCAAGTTCAATCTATGTACTTCAACTTTCTGTAGTTGTAATTTCAATCATTACATGAATAAAATTTATAGTTTTATCCACATATTGTTTTCTTTTTTTTTGTGCAATTAATAATCGTAACTTAGGATTTTAGCAAACCCTCAGCTATCAACGGACTTGATATGTTTTTACCAACTGCTGCTTGAGTTGGACTAATCATACTTTTTACCCTCAGTATGATGAGTTGTCGAAGGGTTTCTCTTAGACTCAAGTGCTAAGATTTCTCCTCTATCCTTAGCCTTTCTAGGCATTGGATCAAATATATGATAAAAATGACTAAGCTCTCATCAAGTTTTGGAAATGTGAAAACAAAGCTCATCACATGGTACGAAGCTCATCACATGGTAAGCTTGTTATAGGAAAATGAACATCACTTGTGAAAATGAATGACGTTAGGAGAATCAAGTCATTCAGTGACATAGAAGTATGACGACGATGATGAAAACAAAGACACATCATTTGATAGGCCAATGTTTGAAAAACGAATATCATTTGGGGGAAATGATGACGTTAGGAAAATTATGTTATTCAGTGACTTAGAAGTATGACGATAATGATAGAAACAAAGACACATCACTTGGTAGGCCAATATTGGAAAACAAATGTTATTTGAGTAAATGACGATGTTAGAAAAAATTATGTCGTTCAGTAACTTAGAAGTATGACGACAATGATGGAAATAAAGGTACATCACTTGGTAGGCTAATGTTGGAAAATGAACGTTATTTGGATAATGACGACGTCAGGATAATCATATCGTTCAGTGACATAGGAGCATAACGATCATGATGAAAATAAATACACGTCACTTGGTAGGCCAATGTTGGAAAATGAACATCATTCGAGGAAATGATGACATTAGGATAATCATGTCGTTCAGTGACATAGGAGTATAATGACCAAGATGAAAATAAAGGCACATCACTTGGTAGGCTAATGTTTGAAAACGAACGTCATTCAAGAAAATAATAATGTTAGGATAATCATATCGTTTAGTGACATGGGAGTATGATGATCATGATGAAAACAAAGGCATATCACTTGGTAGGTCAATGTTGAAAAATGAACGCCATTCGAGGAAATAACGACGTTAGGATAATCATGTCGTTCAGTAACATAGGAGTATGATGACCATGATAAAAACAAAGGTACATCACTTGGTAGGCTAATGTTGGAAAACGAACGTCATTCGAGGAAATGATGACGTTAGGATAATCATGATAGTAACACATCACATAGTAGGTTACTATTGGAAGTATATTTTTGAACAGAAGTTAAACATTGACTATCAGAGGTAATCATTAACGTGATAGTTTTGTGGTCATGTCATCCTATTGAAGAGGATTAGCGAGGGAAATTTGGAGGGGATCAAGTAATGAAATCGTTACCTCGATTTGCCTCTTCTTTTGCTAAGAGGTGTATTTGACCAAGGGCCTATGGGTAATATTTTTTAGAAATTTACCATTGATAGGCATTATGAATTTGTCGCCATCCTGAGTGACAAGACGATATGCTCGATTTGAGTATACAGTTTCCACTACAAATGGTCATTCTCATTTTGGCTCGAACTTCCCTTTCTTTTTGGAGTTTAGAATCATTGGACGTCGAACAGTGAGAACAAGTCACCTTCCTTGAACATGTAGTTTCTGACCTTCTTATCGAATGCTCTGGAAATCTGAGCCTGATAGAATTTGATGTGTTGCTGAGTGTGTAGTCGATTTTCATCCAATATCTCTAACTCATCAAGACGTCGACGATGATTTTCTTCCAACGTCATGCCAGTTGCAAGTGCTATCTGAAGAGATGGAATTTAGATCTTTAGTGGTAATATGACTTCACATCTGTATCCAGAGAGTATGGTGTTGCACCTGTCGGTGTACGAACCATTGTACAATAAGCCCACAAGCTTTGACCCAACTTCTCATTCCAATCTCTTTTGTTTGTCGAGACCACCTTAGTGAGAATCTTGACAATGGTCTTGTTGAAAGCTTCTGTTTGCCCATTAGCAGCAGGGTTGTAAGCTGTTGAGGCCAAATTCCTGATCCTGAATTTATCGCAGAACTGAGTGAAGGCTAGGCTAACGAACTGGGGTCTGTTGTCGTGGATGATACGTCTCGGAATATCATACATGTATATGATGTGGTGTTTTATGAATTTAACCATATCACTTATCTTGACTTCTTTCAATGGAATCGTTTTGGCCCATTTAGAGAAGTAATCAGTTATCGCTAATATGAAGCGATGTCCCTTGAAAGAGGATGGGGATATCGGGCCAACAATATCCATACCCCACATCTCGAACAACTATGAAGCAGCTGATGGATGGAGATGTTCGGGCAGCTGATGCATGTAATTAGCGTGTATCTGGCAGGTATGACATCGTTTAGCATAACCAACAACGTCCCTAACCATGTTTGGCCAATAATAACCCAGTCTGTGAAGTCGGTCCCATAACTTAGGGTCAGGCTGATGAGCTCCACATATGCCATCATGCGCTTCCTTAAGAGCTTATTCTGCTTCTTTGCTTAACAAGCAGCGAAGCAATAGTTCATCATATGACCTTCGATATAAAGTCTGAGACTGGGAATTGTAGTAGAATCTAGGTGCTCGTCTGCCAACAGATCCGTTTTCTTTGATGTCTTTAGGCAATAAGCCATATAAGACATAATCAATGATCAAAAACCGCCAATCTCTAGGTTCTAGCGTGATAGGCTCTTTCTCAACCGCGTTAATTTACAATGCATACTTCGGCTGAAATAATTGCCTACTTGTCATTGTGATTTGCTAGGTGGCTCTTTCAGGTAGGGCCAATGTAGCTGCAAGAGATGCCAATGCGTCAGCATAGGTATTCTTGAGACGGGGTATATAGTCAATGTAGAAGCTTTCAAAGGAGTTGGCCAATGCAATAGCTACGGTGTGATAGAGAATGAGATCCTCATTACTAAGTTCATATTCTCCTTTTACCCGATTGACGATGAGTTGTGAATCACCATACACCTCTAGATGCTTCACCCCCAGCTGTTTGGCTATGTCAAGATTGATTAACAATGTATTGTATTCGGCTATATTATTGGAGCATAGCTATGTTAAGGAAACAGCTCGAGGTAGCACGTAGTTTTGTGGGGAGATGAAGACTACCCCCACTCCAGCGATAACTGGACCGATAGGGCTTGCTCTTGTTGTGCCATCAAAATATAATTGTCATACCTGTTCTTTCGATACGATATTGGCTTCATACGTCTCGTCAGGTATATCTTGGTACAATTTTACTTTCCCGTTCAATGGATGATTGGCTATAAGATCGCAAATAGCTTGACATTTCACCGCGTTTTGAGGTTTGAAATGAATATCATACTGAGATAGCAACAACACCCACCTTGCGAGTCACCAGTTCAATACACCAGGTTGTGTCATGAACACCAGTATAGGATTAATCTGAGAAATGACATGTATGGTTTGTCCCACCAGGTAATGTTGCATCTTTTGGACCGTAAAGACCAGAGCTAAGCATTCCTTTTTAATAGGAGGATAGCAAGGTTCGGCTCCTGATAAGTTCCTACTGAGATAATATATGGCCTGCTCATGGTCATTATCATCATCTTGTGCTAAGAGTCCTACTAAGGCATGCTCTGTAACTCGAATGTATATCAGGAATGGTTTGCCTGACTTTGGTGCAACCAACACAGGTGGACTGGAGAGATATTGCTTGATTTTTCAAATGCCTTTTGACAAGCCTCATCCTATACAAAAGATACCCATTTCTTCATGAGTCTTAAGAATGGTTGGCACCTGCCTCATAGATTGGAGACGAACCTACGAATGTACGCCAAACACCCTTGCAGACTACGAAGTTCTCTAAGATTTTTTGGAGGCGAAAGCTCTTAAATAGCCTTGACTTTATATGGGTCAAGGCGAATTATGTTAGCTGTAACTATAAACCCAAGAAATTTACCGCTGGCCATTCCTAGGAATGATTTGGTTGGATTCATCTTCAATTAGTGCGTCCGCATGAGATCAAACATTGTCTTTAAGTCATGTAAATTATCTCCCTCGTCATGACTTTTGACTACTAGGTCATCAACATAACATTCCACAGTCTTCATTAAATGTTCTCAAAAAATAGTGGTCATGGTGCGCTGATATGTAGCGCTTGCATTCTTCAAGCCGAAGGGTATTACTGTGTAATAGTATATCCATGAAGGTGTTCGAAAAGAAGTGTGCTCCTCACCATCATGATGCATCTTAATTTGGTTGTACCCTGAGAATCCATCCATAAAGAACATCCTTTCGAACCCGCACGTATTGTCGATAATAACATTTGTGATGAGTAAAGGAAAATCGTCCTTTGGATAGGCCGAATTTAGATCTCGGAAGTCAATGCATACTTGAATCTTTCCATTCTTTTTTAGGACAGGAACAATATTGGCTACATAGTTAGGATGTTGTTCCTCACGGATAAATCCTGATTCAATGAACTTTTTGACTTCAATTTTTTCAATTGCCTCCATGATCTGGGGTCGAAATCATCATTGTTGTTGATTAACATTCTTAACGTCTGGTTTGATGTTGAGGCGATGCATGGCCACCTGAGGGTCAAGACTTGGCATGTCTTCATAATTCCAAGCGAAGACATCAATATACTCACGAACAAGAGCGACGAGGTCCTCTTTTTCTTCCGGAGATAGGCTATCACTTATGAATATGAGTTTCGGGTTAGACTCATCTCCCATGTTCACTTGAATCATTTTGTCGTCAGTAGGTGGTTCACGTTGTTCAAAATGATTTTACTACTGTATGCCGAGTTGCCTACTCAATAGATCTTCAAACAAGGGTAATTGATTATCCTCTTGAGTCTCAATTGGTTGAGCTGAAGTCATATTGATCATGAGTTCTTTGAATACAGCGCCAGTGCTGACATCTGAATCCCAGTAGTTCGATTCAGATGAAGAATTAGTGAAGCTTCCTTCTGACTCTTCCGTTGCCTCGAAGCACCATATTAATGGTGGTGATTCGTATCCCAACCCTCTGTGAGTTTTGTGATAATAATCCTCAGGTTTTCCTTCTGGAACATAGACATGCTTAATAGGTATCTTCCGTCCTTTGCCAAAATTTAAACCTTCTTTACGGGTGAAGTCGTACCCTATTTTCTTCATAAGATAATGCATTGCTGGCGCAAAGTATGAGAATTGAGGAACTCTTGCTACTTTTGAGATTCTTCCTGAAGGGTTTGTATTGGACCATCAGTCCGCCCAAAGATGATGTCTTTTTGACCATTATTCTTGGCTGGTACTATAAAGACTGCTTGCGAAGATTCTATTTGCCTTCGACTTGCCACGAGAGATGATTGGATCGGCATGTGCAAAGCAGATTCGACATACAGTCGTGGAAGAAGATCTGATATCCCATTAGCACTACTACCTGGCATATCAGAGTTACATTCAACACACGGTAAGTAAGCTAAATTATTATTGTTATTAAAGATAACTTGCTGTCATCAGCGTCATTTACATCCAGACTTTCAAGATCAATTATGATGGGTTCAATGTTATTGAAAATAAGACCATGTTCGTAGTCAGACTCAGTATCGGCCTCATTACCGCTATCGAGGTCCTCAACTAGTGGTACATCAATTGGCTCACCATTAAGGTAGTGGATAGAATCTGTAAAGTAATTCTCAACTCCCTTGAATGGTTGCTTTTCTGCGATCACTGTTCTGACTTCACCACTCTTGTCCACATATTTTATGCATTGATGTAGAGTGGATGGAACAATCAAATTGTTATGGATCTATGGCCAACCCAATAACAAATTATAAGACTTCTCTGCATCGACGACATAGCAAGTGACATTTTTCCTCAAGTCACCCATTTGACACTTGAGTTTGATTTTGCCTAGAGGACGAGTGTTTGAAGCATTGAAGCCATAAATGATGGTTCCCGTTGTCGACAACCGATGTAGTGGAACCCCCAAGATAGCGAATGAGCCTCAAAGGTATAATGCTCAAAGAAGAACCAGGACCAACCTGAATTCGATCTACCCGAATAAAACTGATGTACCCTATGAAGTATAAGGGTCTATCATGCTTCGGCTTGCTCACATGCATATCCTCTAGAGAAAAGGTGATACATGGCATCCGTCCTTGAAAGATCTGATGACATTGAGGGTAGGCCTCCAATGTTTTCTTTGTCGGGTTTGGAGGAATGAAATCCAGGAAGGTCTCATTATCTGCTAATGCTTCGCGAAAGGCTTCTCTTGTTGATCGCGATAGGCGTAAGAGCACGAACAAGGTAATTCTTGCTGGGATGTTACCTAATTGAGCTAACACGTCAAATTGAAAAGGACCTTTCAAACTCTCAAGAACATCCTTTCTAAGTGCCTTATTGTAACAAAGTTCCTTCCCCTTAGGATCGTGGGCGGACATTGGTGCTTTATCTGTCACCTCCTCCTCTAGTCTTGGTGGGGCTACTACTGCTTCAGGGTACTTCTTCAAATACTCCTTTCCTCCACTAGGGGTGTGCAATGGTCGGTTCGGTTTGGTTTTTACCAAAATTTGAACAACCGAACTGAACCGCCTATAATTCAAAACCGAACCGAACTGTTGCAAGTCGGTTTGGTGCGGTTCGGTTCGGTTTGTTCGGTTCTAACTTTATCAAACTTCTTATCAAACAACAAAGTGTGTTAAAGAAAAAAATATCAACAAAGTAGGAGATTATGAAGCATTAAACACTAATATAATGATATTATTTTCAACCCATAATGATCCAGAAAATGAGTTTAGAGTTTGAGTCTTTGACTCTTTGGGGACGGGTCGGGTAGAGTTTGAGATCAGAATGGGTAGTACTACACTATATTCGGTCGGTTCGGGTCGGTTCGGGTTGAAAAGTTTTCAAACCGACCCCGTACTCATAAAATCAATTTTTTCGGGTCGGTTTGGGTCAGTTCGGTCGGTTTTTTCGGTTTGGACCGAACCATGCTCAGCCCTATCCTCTACAGGTCCCTGATGTCTGCACAGGTTATGTAGCAAACGCCGGCTACTCGTCTTCTAAACTGCTGAGGGACGTAGTTTCAACGTCCTCATTAGGAATGACAGATACAACATTACAAGATTTTCACCTGGATTTGGACTTCTTTGAGTCTACTGAAGTCCATTGCCGATCTACTAGTAGATTAGGATGAACCCATATGAATCCACCTTCGAGAGTGGTATAAGGAACCATACCCTTCTCCTTCTGCTGATGAGGATCGAGGTTCATAATCCTAGTCTCTGCTTGAGGAATTGGCTTCACACCGTCCTG